ACTGTCCAAGCTCAAACTAAACAATCTGACCGATAAAAAAGTAACTAATTCATTTTGATGGATTGAATCGACCTAGCCCATAAGTGTAAGTCAAAGGAGCTGAGAAGACTTAAGAATTACGGGACTTCACTTAATCACTTCAAATTCAAGTTTCCAAGTTCACTTTTCAGTTTTCACATTTCCCAAATGGCGAATTCTCGAATAAGAAATCTAAACCTTAATGGAATCAGTATTCTTTGGTTAAAAAATAATATTTAATAAGTATTTAATAAGTACACGAATTTGGAATAAAATCCATTAAAATCAAGATTCTCAATGAATGAAATTTCACTTAAAAAATATTGTAGCTATATAGGTTTTTCTCGATAGAATGAAATTTGCATTTAAATTTTTTTGTAGATATATAGGATTTTTCGATCTATTTAGAGCATCTATAATAGAAGGTTTTCAGGAGGTTTTCATGAGGTTTAAAAAGCTGATGCTGTAAGGTTTTCTATTATTTACATAAGGTTTGGGGTTTGAAATTTTAATACCGCTCTTGATCTCAAACAGAGATGGCAATGGGCCCCCAAAACCCGAAACCCGATGGGTAAAAACCCCATTAGGAGCCGGGTATGGTTAAAATTTGGCCCCATGGGTCTGTTAATGGGGAAAATGTCCCCCCATCGGGTCTAGCGGGGATGGGTCCGTTCCCCCTCCCCCCATACCCGTTAAACCATGGGTATAATGCACCCAATATAATTTGGCCCAATATATGTTTTGGCCAAGCCCAAAACTCAACAGGCAGCACTACTAAACGGTTTATATTGTAATCTCATTATAAATTTATAATTTGGCCCAATATATGTTTTAGTCTAAACCTAGATATATGCTCATCCTCTTGCTCTCCCACTCCAGTCCCACGCACCCGCCCACCACGCACACTCGCAATCGCTCTCGCTCTCTCGCAGGTCGCAGCTCCACTCCACTCCACGCCGGCAGCTCCTGCGTGCGACCGGCGGCTCCACCGCTCCACCAAGATGGCTGGTTCCGCTTCCGCGGCTGCGCTGGCGCTGTCAAGCCCGCAGGCCGCAACGGGAGAAGGCGAGCAGAACTCCACCTCGAGGCCGGCGGTCAAGTCACCGACGCCGCCGCTGCAGATCCAGACCGGGAACGCTGTGTCCTCACCGGAAATGCCAACTTCGTCTCGCGTGGGGTGAGTATTTCCATTTCCCCTCTTCTTTATCTGTTGTGGTGCTTTGCTTCCTCCTCCCCATACTATGGTTTGTACGAGTCCATCAAGCACGATTAGATTACAGTAGCGACGAGGGGAGTTTGGACAGTGAGGATTGATTGATTGAGATAGTTGTGTTCTTATTATTCCCACCTTATTTTACATGGTAGAATTGGTAATTTGTATGTTTCTCTTGAATTTTTGTTGCTGATGACGATTTTCACTCATCTTCCTATTTTAATTTTTTTTCTGTTTATTTTTTGTGCTTTGTTCACAAGCTTTTAGTGATAATGGTAACCATTTCTTTCTTTCTTTTTTTTATTTTTTTTTTGCTGTTTATTTTCCGTGGTCATGATCAGAAGCTTATGGACATGGATCATAGTTTTAGTTTGTTCTTTTCTCAAGGCTTTTGAACTCAAATTGTAAACTAAACAAAGTATTACGGAATTGCTGGTGTAACTTTGAAGGGACGCCGCCGCTGCCGTCGCTGCAAAAGGTAAAGCAGTGGTTGGACAGGGCCGCCGTCCACTGCAGGCACGCATAAACAGCAAACGAAGCCGTCTCGCCATTGAAGGAGCACCTGCACCGAAGACTCCTCCTTCCTCCATCCTTCAGAAGTTTAAATCAATGGGGTTTGATTCGATTCACGCTAACCCCTCTGTACTTTGCATTTTTTTAATTGTTGAGTGATAGATACGGATGGATACAAATGCCAATATATTTATACCCGCTTAAGAAGTAGGGGAAATACGAAAATATATGATGAGAAATAATTAATATATATATATATATATATATATTCACAAGATAAATCAATTAATCTTAACTTCCATCATCCATGCAAGTGTTTTTTTAAGATCCCAACATAAATTAAATGGATAGAAATGGCAAACATGCAATACGCTAGTGGCTAGTAAGGAAATTTTTTTACACCAATAAACGATTGAATTGAATACAAAACGAGCTTCACAAGCCCTAAGCAACATGCAATAAACGATTGAATTGAATACAAAATTTTTTGTTACAGTTATGGAAAAGTGAAACTGTTAAAGAACCTGAATGAGAGTGTGTTTACAGTAACGAGCTTCACAAGCCCTAAGCAGCGGCCTCAAAAGATTTAAATCCAAAAACGAATTCGCATGATATGTTACACCAACCACCGTTGCAAAGAACATGTTATTGTTCCCACTCATAGTTGGCACATCATCATCATCCTCCGCCCTATATTCTTCCTGCACCAAATATGTGTGGGAGATTATGCAAATGCACACTAATTAGAATTGTTAACTCATAACAATACTCTCGCTTTATTTAAAACAGAATAACATTCAGCCAATAAAAATCAAAAGACAAACACACAGCCCATCATTCTTTAGTAATTTAAACACGAATCGCAACACTTGCCTTTTTGGATCCGACTAATGAGTAAAATCACAAGTACGACAATGGCATGGTTTTTCAGCTCGTCCAACTATCATCAACTTCCAAATTCAAAGAGCTTGACTACGGATTTATATGGTTCTCCAAATCAGTCATAGTTTGTCATCTACAAATAACAATGAAAAATAAAATTCCAACTGCAAATAAAAAAGAAAAACCTTATAAATCACAGCTCGCATATAATTCCAAGATGTTTATTCTCTCTACAAATGATTCAGCCACGAAAAGGAGCAAATAAAATTTGATTCTAGTAGGAAGCGTTCGTATCTTCGTTGCCAGGAAATTTCTCGATGATTTTTCGGGCGATAGCGTTCGCCATCGTGGGCGTGGAGCTGAACTCCACCAGCACCACTGAGCCATGCGCCATCAGCGCGTACACTATCGCCATTTTCACGCGCCCCTTTTCAAAAGGTCCCATCTTTGCTATTTCACATTTTACCTTATCTACCTGCGCAGAGACAGACAATTTACAGAGGCTCACGTTCGATACGACATGTGCTCTTGTCACGGGTTTCAATCTCGGGTACCTGTCAGCCGACCTACCCAACGTCCCGTTCTCGAGAGTCATGGATAATGCCGAGGAAGTCATTTTCATGCAGCAAGTGCTGCCGAGAGGGTTTGGTAATGAGGCATACCTTTTCAATTGCTCTGATGGAAGAAAACTAAAAGTCAACATAATTAATTAGCACAATTCCTTTTTATTCTTAAATACTTTCAACCATTACAATAATCCCATTTATCCTAAATCCTCTCAAAAACATCAGTCAACTATCACATGTGATAATTCACCTTTACATCAAAAAGACAACACAATGTGCACGAAATAGACACATGAACAAAGGTTAAACTTACAGAGGTAGAGAAATCACAGGCCTGCAAGAAAATAATCAAACAAATTGAGAAGAAAAAGAGAGCCAGTAGAAAATAAAAGCTATATAGTAAATGAATGCATATAAAAATCAAAAGCCCAAATGAAAAACAAGAAACAGAGTGAACCATCATCGATACAAAAGCTATACTCGGACATATTGCGATTAAACAAAGTACAGAAAGAGAGGTGGAAAAAAAAGAACAAAATTTACCAGGCAAAAAAATCGATAGATGAAAGCGAGAATTTAAGAAAAATCAAGAAAGGGGAGGGAGATAGATATGTACCTATCAGCTGTGACGGAGAAGTCGGACTGGCCGTGGTCTCGCCTAAGCCAATCTAGCCGGTCGGGTCGAGCATGGCGGCGTAGAGCATATATCGGAATCCTCCGTTGTTCTCTGCATAAAAGGGATTAGGTAACCTGTAATGCTGAAGCTGGAAAATCAAAGAGATCGGGTTCATTTTTGTGCGATTATTTTTCCTTCTTTGTGGAAAAGGATGAGTTTGAGAGAAATAAAAGAAAAATGATGAGTGGGTAGATTTGAAAGAGAGCTTGCGTGTGTGCGGAAATTTTGCCGGTAGGGAAATAGCCTGTCACATGTAAAGGACGAAAATATCCTAAAAATGCAATATAAAGTGAGGTAGTTTAGGAAAAAAAATGCAAAGAGGCTGGTTGGAAAACATCTCATAAACGACGCCGTTTTGAACAAAATGGAGCGTTTTGAGAGGTGCCACGCTGCAAGCAAAGGGGCAACATGGTTTTCTTATAAGAGCATCTTTAGTGGAAAACCTCCATAAACCTCCTTTTTTACTTTACAACATGCCACATCATCCAAAACCTCATTCTTACTCCAACCTTCATAATTCTCCAATAACAATAAACCTCAAAAACCTCTCTTTTGTGGGTCCTACATGTTTCCCACTTATTTTAATTAATATTATGATCTTATATTTATTAATATATTAAAAACTATTACTCCACTTTTTATTATACTCTTATTTTTTTTACAATGTTGCACACAATTTTTTTTTAGAATACAATGCATATTTAGCAGCTTTTTTTTCCCATACACGATAATTTAAATTGATTACATAAATAATAATAAATAAAAAAAACATAAAGAAAGTCCAAATAGTGTGCCAATGAATTGATTAAAAAAGGATAAAAACAAAAAAAATCAAATAAATGTGAGTTGGGCGGTATTTTAATTAAAGAAACGAATATATATATATATATATAAATGTCCAAGTGGTGTAGGTGTGCCAATAAATTGATTAAAAAAACGAAAAGAAAAAAAAAAAACACAAACAAATTTCATGAAAGTTGGGCTGCAGACGTGGGACCATCCTCTTCACAAACATATTTGGGGCGTGGGCAGCAGACTCCATATTATCTTATATGTATGTGGAAGCAACGCGCCATTATTTAATTGTTCAATTATTTTACAATGTTTTTAATATTGAGGTTTATGCCTTTATGGTAGGTTTGGATTTGCAAACCTGGTTTAAAAATATAAACCTTAAACCTTGCAACTTTAGTGGAAAATCTGTAGCAGGAGGTTTAGAAACCTGATAAGAAACCTCTTATTAAAGATGCCCTTAGAGATGCTCTTAGGTGGTTTTTGAAAATGATGTGCTTCAAAAAATAATAATGATGATTCCACAAACTTTCAAACATAAATTCTGACATTAATAAAGAGTAAATTACAATTTTATTTTTGTATGTTTCACTACCTTAACTTTTTCGTCCTTTTCGAATTGCGTTTTTTCATTTTCGTCCTGTATGTTTGCAAAGATGTTACAAAAAGGTCATTTTCTACATAAGGGACGAAATTAAAACCTTCTTTTTCAAAACATAAAGGACCATTTTGTTGCAAAAATGACATTTTTGTGATCTTTTTGCAAACATACGAGACGAAAATAAAAAACGCAATTCGAAGTATGTTTCACTACCTTAACTTTTTTGTCCTCTTCGAATTGTGATTTTTATTTTCGTCTCGTATGTTTGCAAAAATGTCCTCTTCATACATAAGAGACGAAATTGGAACCTTTGTTTGCAAAACATTAATGACCTTTTTGTGGCGAAAAAGACATTTTGGTAACTTTTTTGCAAACATACAAGAAGAAAATAAAAAATACAATTCGAAGAGTACGTACGAAAAAGTTAAGGTAGTGAAACATACACGATTAAAATTGCATTTTACTCTTAATTATTTATGGAATGGGAAATTATTATGGAAATGTTGGTTTCGTCTCTCTGATATATCCGACCAATATTAATGTAAAATCGTGTAGTATTTGAAAATATTATTTAATTAAATAATTATTATTTCAGTAGTTTATAAAGTTTTGTGGTATACAAAAATATTATTTGATTTCATAATTCTTATAACAGTTTAGGTTTAATTTTAAATACTAGTGCGTAGCCCCTGCGATGCACGGGTAAACAATATGACTTTCATATCATGTAAAATCGTATTATCACACATGCATAATAAAATCTACATCTTAAGTTCATATTTTGTGTTTTTTAATGGAATAAAAATTTTCATTTAGGGATCATATGTATCTAATCTGTCCAAATTTATCTACATATCGGCAATTTAAATTTTGAATTTGAAGATAACCCGAATCTATGATTGCAAAATATCGTTTAATAATTAAATCAGCCGCAACTTTAGGATTTGGTATTTTAAAACATAGAAAAAAAATAAAATCATTAATTTAGGGGAAATATGTGATAAATCTATCTAAATCTTGTATACATCACGTTTTACAATTAAAGCAATTTAAATATGGAGATTAAGATATTTTGAATCTCTGATTTAAACAAATACCATAAAAAAAATGATTTGGTATTTTGAAATTAAAAAAAAAAATCATTAATTTAGAGGATGATATGTGATAAATCTATCTAAATCTTGTATACATCACGTTTTACAATTAAAACAATTTAAATATGGAGATTATTCTTATTTCAAATCTCCGATTTAAACAAAGACCATAAAAATTTTGATCGTTTTAAAATTAGAACGGTGTAGCAACTTTATTCTTGTAATTGAAACTGCTCAATTTGATGGTTAGAAAAAATGTTTTCAAAAGAAATAAACAAATGATTTTTTTTAAAAATATTTTTACCCTTAAATTAGCCGTAATTTTGTTTAAATAAAATTTGCTCAAAACATATGTATTAGCCGATTTAATAGAAAATAAAAAGTTTCCGATATTTTGAAAATACAAAAAAGCATATTTTTATGGTTAGAAAAAATAACACATAATTTTTATTATTATTAAATCAGTCGTAATTTTTTTATTAAAAAAAACCGCCAAGCAAAGCAATTTTATTAGCCGAATATCTGGTTTTAAATTTGGAGAATATAATCGGCCGATATTTAATTGAATTAGCAATCGTGTCGTACATTTTTATTTAAACTAAAAAATAGTTTATTGTAACCAATAACCAAATTTAATTGATGCAACACGTGCAGCTTTTGATATTCACATCGTGTCAAACCATCGCAAATATTCAATAGACCAAATTTAAATAGCAGTCCACTTTTTTGAAAATAAGAAAGTAACAAACTCCTCATTTTCAGAACAATATTTAATGTTGTCCATTTTTTAGTAAAAAATATATTAAAAAAATGTTATAAATGGTATGTAATTAATGTTGATAAGTTTTGACCAAGGATTGACTTACTATTTTTTTATAAATGTTAATTCTTATTATATATATATAGATTTCTAATTTGAGAGTTTTTAAAACATTTAGAACAATCTTTATAATAATTTTATAGTTTATCAACTTTAAATATTTGGATAATAATATTATTGAAGGATTTAAATATTTTTCATGATGCATTAAAGGAAAAAAGAAAAAAGAATAATGGAATGACTCAGGCATTCTTATAAGGAAAATATCTTGATTTTCAAACATTCCATCAGATAAGGAAAATAAATTTATCTCATCTATATATATATAATTTATAGCAAAGCAATTAATAACACTCATTTCGTTTTCCCGACTTTTTCTGTTACTTTTGCATTAATCACAATTATATTTTTCATTTATTTATTATATAATTTCTACTATTAACTAAAAATGAAGACACATTAAATGTTATTCTATTCTAAAGCTTTTTTAAATTATATATTTAAAATTATTATTTTTTATTTATTTTTCACCTCATTAAGTAAGTTTTTTTATTACAATTAATTAATTATTTTTTATGATATAACCAAACTCTTTAATGATCTGCACACAAATGCTATAATAATAATTGTAATATTTTTTTATTCAATTAATTATCATAATCAACCAAGATTGTATAAATTTAAATATTAATATGTAGGTTAAATAATTTATATTTATATCGTCATTTTAGTAATAATAAAATTTATAAATGTGATATGCTTATTGTCTAATTTAGGATTTTTAAATTTTACATTAATATATATATATATATATATATAATGTATAAAAATTTATTTGTATTTGTGCATGTGCACAAGATAGAATATTAGTTAACAACTAAAGCATAAAAATATTTTTATTATTTGGGATCGATTTAATAAATTGAATTTTAAATTTAAATGTATCGGTTAAATGTCGGATTTTTTAAAGTTTTCATTTTTTTAAATTTTAGTAAAAGACAAAAAAAAAAAATAATTATTAATTTAGATAAATCCTTTTTATATATTAATAAATGAGTTTAGTGGTTGAAAAAAATTACTATTTAATGTTACAAATGAGTTATCTATATATCCATATATATAAAGAGGAGCAACAAAGCATTAAATTTTATTCTCATGCATTAAGTTTTATTCTCCCTCCAAAATTTTCGGCATTCAATTTCATTTTTAAGTTACAAAATAACTTCCTTGAATGCCATAAATTATGAGCATAAACCAATCAAGGGAGTTACAAAATTGTACTCAAATTTTAAGTCACACTCACTCATGAAAATGGCCGAGTATATTAGCATAAAGAAAATGGTTGTAACGGTTCTTCCCTAGCAATTACTTGATCAAAATCAATTTTGAAAATTATTTTCTTAATTCATATTTTTTTTCATGAATTAAATTATGATTTATTTTTATTTTTTTATATTTTTATCGTTTTAAAGTATTCGTCTCTGTGAAAATATACAGGTGATTTCTAGTATCTATTACTATATAATACGGAGAAGAAAAAATGTTTGAAAAAATATTTCAAATTCCCGCTTAAAAAACTGTTTTTCCCCCTTAAATTTAATTTGAATTTTTTTCATCCCCTTTTTTTGCCATGGATTTCCCTTATCTACAACATGATTAGATTTCAAATCTTTTCAGTTCACATTACAATTCGATTTTAATTCGGGATTCAAAATTTGATTAGATTTTTTTTAAATATGTAAAAAAAAAGAGAATCCCCTCTCTCTCTCTCTCTCTCTATATATATATATATACAAATTTGTGATGAGTTGAATTTTAAATTCAATTTAATATTAACAAATGTATATTTTATGTAAATAAAATTTAATAGAAAAACAAAATTAAAAAGATTGTGTGGTAACATTTTTCGAAATAAATAAATTATGGGAAGGTGATTTTGTTAGCAAAAAATTCAAAGAATTTTGTTTGGGTTCAAATTTTGAATACGTGTATGATTAGTTATAGATAAATGAATCCAACATATTCTAACTACCAAAAAATATGGAAACACATTTCCTTATTTAAAAATTCAAATTCAAGAATGTGAGGAGTTGAATTTTAGATTTAATTTGAAATTAACCACTAATGTATATCTTATGTAAATAAAACATAATAAGAAAAAAAAATTTGTGTGGTAACATTTTTCGAAAAGTGTGAGGAGTTGACTTTTAGATTCAATTTAAAATTAACCAATGTATATCTTATGTAAATAAAATTTAATAAAAACAAGAAAAATAGAAAAAAATGTGTGGTAACATTTTGGAAATCTATTACTATTATTACGACTAAGAAAAATTGTTCAAAAAACTCAAAAAAATTATCTTATTTTCCCGCTTCATATTCCCGCTTTTTTTTTCGTTTTATTACTTTATTCGGTAAAGTTTTTATTTTTTTTTTCATAATCCCGCCTACATTTCAATTGTAATTTATTTGGACGTATATCATAATCCTTTTTTTTTTTAATCGATTTGGTAGGAATCGGATTTTTCTTTTTTTTTTGGAAGGGAGTTGATATAAATCGAATAACATCAATTTAAGTTAATTAATTATGAAATTTCATTTCCTTTTTTTTTTCAAATCTGATTTATATTATATAGATAGATTTCACTTCCTTTTTTTGTAAGCGATTACCTTTTTTTTTGGTAAGCGATTGTTTCAATGAAACGTGCACTAAGATCGGGTTGACCGAATTAAACAATTTTGAATAATATTAAATTAATCGATTACTATTAAATTAATTTTATTTGATTTTCACTTCTAAAATTTTCCAAAATACTATTTTTATTTTTGTGGAAAATGGCGGTTGGATGAAAAAGTCAAATTCAAATTAAAAAAAAATTGTTATTTTGAAAAAGATATTTTGTAAACCTTAATTCATAAAAATATGGTCAATGATAACTTTAAATACAACGGGTAAATATGGTCAATGATATCATAAATTATATTTTATATTCGATAAGTTCAACTTAATTGATGATTTTGTTTGTTAATATTTGCTTAACTACAAAATATTTTAAAGTTTATAAAGAATCTCATTTTAGTAGGTTCTTGGTACTTTTTTATTTGTACATATTCATTTTTCATCCCATATCCAAATACAAATTTAAATGCGGATCTTACATGTTTATTAGAAATATATGTATATTTTTTCAAAAAGTATGACGATCATATAATTAATTTTATCATATATCATATGTTGGATGTTATTAGTTTGGTTGGGGACACTCATTATATTCAAATAAATAATATATAATTTTTCATATTTAGTATTTCTTTTTTTATAATAATTAGATGTTAAACATAAATAACTATGTTTAATATAAAGTCTTAGAAAATGTTTTAAGTAAAAACCCCTCCGTGCAGCGCACGGGATACACACTAGTATATATATAATTGCTAGCTTAGCAATAAATTTTACCGGATAAATAAAATTTATTTAATTTTACCTAATAAATAATACGTAGGTGGCAATCTTTCCTTACAAAACATACGTTACTTTTGATATGATTATAGGACCAAGTCTTATTAATATGCTTATATGATCAGTTTCAGTTTTTTATGCTTATGAAATAAAAACATAAGTAATGTTCACGATTTTTAAAGAAAATATGTAATCTGTTTATATAAAATGAAAGAAACAATTAAATTAGAGTTATAGGCTAAAATTCTATTCTTGAACTTTGAGTGGAATTGAAATGCATTTCAGTAAAGTTTATTATTTTTATACAGTAGAATCAATTTTTACAGTTTATTAAGTTTATTATTTTCACATTATTCCATTATAATCTTAGTATTGCAGATATTTTCTATAACTTAGATAATTTTGAATTTAGTAAAAAATAACAATAAAAATGAAAAATATGAGATTAAAAAGAAGCTAACATATAAAGAACTGTTTATTAATAACTTAATCAACTCGTGTACAGTTTTTTTTATTCGAAATAATTATTAGCATAAAAATTATTGTCCACATGGAGTTTTTTTTCATTCAAAAACTTCAGCTGTGCACATATTTCATTCTTAATCTCTCAAAATTCAGCCTTTAGACACTTCTCCTTCTTCATCTCACTTCTTCTTTGAACTGCTAATTATTAAAACATAATAACATTTGTTAGAATATCATTTATGAGTTGTCCCACATCGTTCATACATAAAAAATAGACCTATCTTATAATCAGGGCCGGCTCCTTGGGGAGGCAGCCTAGGCCCATGCCTAGAGCCTCCCCTTATATTTGGGGCCCCATTTTTTTTTTAATATTATGTATTTGTGATGAGTTTGACCCATTATACAAATGAAGGGGTTAATTAATGAATGTGTTAATGACAAAATATATACTTTGTGTGGAAATTTGAGGCTCTAAATATTTCATTTGTTTTCTTTGTTTTCTTATGATGTTTGGTTAGAACAATTGTGTGAGAATAAATATTCTTTGTAGTGATATGGTTTTTATTTTCTTCTCTTTCTTGTTCTAATGATTGTTTGAATGTAAATTATTAAAGATCTTTGTAACCTAGGTGATTTATCAATTCCAAAGTTTAGAAAAACAAGAAAATTATTGTTTTTTCAATTATTTATTTATTTATTTAATAGTCTTTTTTAATTAGGTTTTTTTCTTCTATGATTCTATCTGCAAATAGCTTAATTACCACGCAAGTTCAAATCGGGAAATTCGAAAAGGACAAATTTGTCTAGGGCCTCCAAATTTCTGAAGACGGCCCTGCTTATAATATAGTGATTCACATGCAATTAAATCATATATACTATTTATTTTAATCAATTATCAAATTTAAAAATATAATATCTTTATCTAATTTATAATTTAATATCATATGCATAAATATAACATATAATACTATATGTGTAGCCCTTATTTGAATGTAATTTAATACCATTATTTGAATGTGCAAAATGATAATTTGCATCTCCTATTGTAGCCGTCCATTCAATATCCTCATCTTGCACCCAATCTTAGCCGTTGGCCCTTGTGCCGTTTCATGATTCCGCCCATTGTCAATCCGACATGGCATTTAACTGGATTTAAAATCCGAATTTGGAGTCCGCCAATAACCCCCCAACCCACCCCAAAAAAAAAAGAGAAAAATGAAAATGGAGTCAAGTGTGAATTAGTGCAGAACGTAAAGTTGGAGACTGAGCTTCGACGGGAGCTCCTGAAATATTTGCTTCCTCAATTTCGTAAGTTTAATGCTTTTTCTCTTGAATTCCTTTGATGGTTCGTAGCTTCTCGAACTCAATCTTCAGTTTGTTGTTCTTTTGGGTTGCCGTTTTTTGTTGTTGAATTATCGCTACCGTGGAAGTTTGCGTTTTGCGTCACTTTTCAGAATTTTCGACTTTTCTTGCGTGTTTATTCTTCTTCTTTGTTCTTTCTCTTGATGTTTGTTTCGTTAACTGTATGACGGGCTAGTGCTTGTTGTAATTCGCTAGATCTGTTGAGTGTTTGTGGAATCATGTCCTGTATCATGTGCTTTTACAGTTATGCATGCGGCATGCCCTTGGTTGAGTGCGAAAATTGGCCAACTTGAAATAACTAAGAAAGGAAAATGGATGATAATTGTTTAATTTTCAATTGTGCATCTGGTTAATTTTCCAGTTTATATGCTACTACTCTTTTATCCCTGTTGTTTTAGGTTCAGAATTTTTTAGTGGTAACTGTATGTTTTTCAGTTGGTTTTTTTTTTGGTCGAATGTCTAACGTGAAGTTTACTTAATAATCCCATCCTCTAGCATTTTATTGTTTCTGCATTTAATTAATGTGATTGCATATGGAAGTCATCCTGTTTGTGATTCACTAACAGCACACAGAAAAGCAGGATTTTGGGTGAGGTCCACACTTCAGTTTTAGCAGTAATGGGCGAGATTGATGTAGTGACAGAAGAAGTTAAGGATGATAAGCCTAAAGAAAAGAGTGTCTCCAAGAAACGCCCTAGGTCAAGAACCAGTTTGAGTAGAAAGAATAATAGTGATGAAAAGGAAACTGTAGAGAAGGAGAAGGAACAGAAACCCCTGACCGAGAGAGATACTAAAGAGCCTAAAACTGCAGCGAAGAAAAAGGAAAAAGAGCCAAAGACACCAGTTACTTCCATAATTGAACGTCCAGTACGCGAACGGAAGTCTGTGGAAAGGTTGGTTACCACCATTGAGAAAGACTCCATTAAGGATGTCATTATTGAAAAGGTGCGCTTTTTTATTTTTTATTTTTATCTTTGTTCTTCCATTTTTATGTGGGCAGCATTCTGCATCCTAGTATAAAACTTAATCTCACTGTTGGCAACTTCCTCTGGCACACTCTTTTGGTTGCAGGGCCGTGGAACTGCATTGAAAGATATCCCAAATGGTATAGTTTCAAAACTAATTCGCTTGCCTTTGTGTTATGCATACTTTGCACATCAACATGCAGTCTTAGCTGTACACCGGCAATTAGAGCTGGAAATATTAATAAAAGAAAATATCATGTGATTGATAATGCAATATAGGTGGGTTAGGATTGAGAAACCGACATGAATTATTCATGAAATATTTGTGTTAAATTAACTGCATTTTCTGTTAAAATAAGATTGGGATTTGCAACCAGATTACGGTGCATTCTCTTTAAGTTGAGTGTATTCAAGATATCGTACATTGTAATAAGTATTGTTCAGTTATTTATTTTATGAATGGAAGACATTAATATTTTGATTGTGCTTTAATTGTTAAGGGGCAGTGTGATCATGGTGGATTCATAGTTTGAGAATCTATCTATTTCTGATATTACAAGCCACAATTTAACTCATACATCACTATCATTGAGGCTGTGTGGCATGGTTTGGATGGTGTTTCAAGGTTTATATCACACCAAGCGGAGATGGTTGCTAGCAATAACTCTCTACCCATGTTTAGCAATGTCAATGTCTTCAAGGATTTATACATCTAGCTATTATAAATACTCTTAGATCTGTGCGAGACACCGTGAAATTTGCTTTCAGTTCCATTTGGTGAGTATCATAGGAAGAGTACATTTTTGCAAAGTCAAGATCCTCGCTTTACAATACATAAACAGGATTTTAGATGCTGGTTCTATAGAAAGGGCTAATCACGTTTTTAATCACCATATATTTACCTTAATCAAAATTAGTAATGGTGGGTCCACTTTGAATATTTAATGGACTATGTTCCAAATATTTTACTATGGACCCCACCTTAGTTTGCAAACTTTGCTCATGTTGTGACAAGATACCCGTCCTGCAAAATCTTGTTTCTGTATGTGAATGCTTATGAGTCTCCAAGATGGCATCTCGGCTATCTAGATTTGCCTTTTATCTTAGATTGTTTACTTTTGAGAATTTTTTTTTTTGTATATCCTAAGTTTTTCATATTATTTTGATGAGTTTGTTTAGTGTTTCCTAATGACATATTTATTTCAGTGGCATATAAGCTGTCAAGAAAGAAGAATGAGGATATTCTCAAACTATTGCATACTGTTCTTTTTGGAAGGAGAGGAAAGGTGAAGTTTTTTTTAGTTGTTCTTTCGTGTAGAGTTCCAGATTTTCTTTATTTAACTGATTTATTTCATCTTATCTCTACATTGTTTTTGAAATATTACCATTATTTCACAGCTTGACATTATATGCTAATCAATATTGAAATTTGTGCTCAATAAATTTCCAATTGTATTTACCTACTTTTTGAAAGTCCTTTTTACCCCATATTTCACATCAATGTTTGATGTCAAACATTATTAATGGCCTTCTCTTATTTAGTAATCCCTCCATCCCAAAAAGAGACGATCTTAACATTTTTTACATAGTTTAAGCAAGAACAATCATTGTTGTGTGTGAATATAAAAAGTAAAGATGTATCCTCTATATTAATTATTATATTAACCACGACTCTATTCATTGGTCATCATATAAAATTAAACAAGAAAAATAATTTGAAATAACAATACAAATACTCTATTAAAAGTAATTCTAGTACAACATTCATATTACACAGTTGCTAGTTAAAAAAATCATACTTAAATTCTTTATTAAAAAAAATATAAATATAAGAGAAAAGGTTTTTTAATTTTAATTTAAAATAATTTTTAAAAAAAATTAAATTATTATTTTTATAGTAAAAATGAGATTTTCACTTGTACGATTTGTCCGTCTTATATTATAATAATTTTACTAAATCATATGTACTGAATTTGTAGATAATTTTTAATTGGTATGTAATTTTATGAGTTTTAGTTACTATTAATAGATGATTTAATTTTAGAATAAAGAAAAATATAATTATTTTTATGAATATCAAATCAAAGCTCGTCAAAAGATAATTAATTTGATATATTATATATGAAAAATAAATGAAAAATACAAAAGTGATTAACTTTTAAATATAATTATAATTTAAGTTAGTGAAGTGTTTTATAATTTTAAAAGTCGAATAAGTTTGGATGGAATCCAGATCTAATGGACTACTCCAAAGCACCAGAACTCCAAGCACCAAAAGTCAACACAGAAGTCGACACGTACAATTGGGACATCCTGCACTAATATATGGGAGAGATTAGTATTACTAGATGATTTAATATTATAATAAAGAAAGAGTAAAATTATTTACTTATTTTATATATACAATAATTTTCAATCATAACTTGTCAAAAGATAATTAGTTTGGTATATTATATATGGAAAACATATAACAAATCCAAAAGTTATTAGCTTTTAAATATATTTGTAATTTAGTAGTCAAGTGCTTTATGTTTTTAGAAGTTAGGTTTGGATAAAACTACTCTGAATCACACATATAGAAGTACGAAGTACCATAATTCAACACATAGGATTACAAATCACAAAAATCGTAGATCGGGACATTCTGCATTAATATATAGGGAGGGATGTCTATCTTTTTTAGACACCCGAAAACTAATGTGGTTATATATTTGGAAGGAGGAAGTGTTACATGCATGGGGGTCCTATTGAGACTTTGTAGGGTTCTTTGTAACCATTATTATTCCCCTGCAAAGCACATCATAATATGTAATAAGAGTGAACTGATTTCTGATTCTTTCAGAGTTATTTATTTCGTTCATACTTATTTTACTTGTCTAGGCTGGTCAATTGAAGAATAACATTTCAAGATTCTCTGGGTTTGTTTGGCATGATAATGAGGTAAGATACTCAAAGATCTTTTTTATTTTTTTATAAATTACCTCGTTGGTTCTGCTCAGATACATTAAAATTTCTGCTCCTAATATCCAGGAAAAACAATTGACTACACTGAAAGAAAAACTTGACAAGTTTGTCAAGGAGAAACTGGTAGAGTTCTGTGAGGTTCTGGATGTTCCAATTTCAAAGGTTAATTTGAAAAAGGTCAGTAAATTTCCCTGATTGCCCCTTAAAATGTTCATAGTTGTTTTTAATAGAATTAGTCACTAAATTATCTCACGTTTTGATCTTGATATTTTGGTGAGACATACAATGGTTTTTCCTTTATGAATTGTAGTCCTTTAATTATGGAAGTGCGGGAACTTGATGTTCTATGCAAAATTATTCGTGCTTAGCTTTAAATAATATTCTTCCACTATTGTATTTCCAGGAAGATATTATTGTAAAGTTGATAGAGTTTTTGGTTGAGCCTCATGCCACAACAGCTGATTTGCTTGCTGAAGAAGAGCAGGTTTGACGCAAAATTAACATTCTGGAAAATTTTGTTGAACTACTACTTAATCCGATTGGCTTTAGTATGTGATTCATGTCTTGGCTGTTCACCATTAATTAAGGGTAAAAAGAGGAAGAGGGTCGTCAAATCTGACAGCACACCATCGAAGGGCCCAGCCAAGGTAATTTTTGTGGCTTGTTGCATTTTTTTATGTCAAGGTTGTGCGTGTATAATTAAATCTAGAAATATAGCAACAGTGGAACTTGGTACTTCTACGCAACATTGTACATCATTTATGCTTATAGATCTGTTTCGCCTTTCATCTACTTTAATCATTTAAACAGCAAACATGATATAAATAACCAATGTCCTGATATGTTATCTTTGACTTTATGGCTTATTGTTTGGAATAAAAAGATGTCAATTGATGATAGAAACAAATGAGAGGGTGTTATGGCATATAATTGCCGTTGATTGGTAGTTCATATATTCATGGGATACATAATCTTGGAGAGGCATGTGCGGAGTTGTTGTTTGAAGCATTTTACACTTGTAACTATGGTATGGTGAATCTTTTAAAATTTGCTTTGCAAGTATTACAAGAATAGAAAAATGCAAAAAGAGAGAAGTATCATGGATGATCTGAGGCTCACCTTTCAACAAGCCAAACGAAATTATCAAGGAATCAGGGATGATCCGTATATTGCTACTAGTGGCTGATTTTTTACCTAACATGATAATAAGTAGCATACATTGTGAGGGATGGCTTGTAATTATGTAGTTCATCTATCTAATAAGAAATAAGCTAGTCAGAACCATAAAATGCTCTCTGCTTTCTTCTCCGTGGAAGTGAAATTGGACGGGAGGAAAGAGATCTGATATTTGAAATTATACATATGGAATTCCAGATAAATGTATTATTTTATGTTCACACCATTTGAAATTATACCATTTTGTTTATGGTATTTTCAGAGTCAAAAGAAAACTGCTGGTACAATGAGCACTCATGGTGAACCAGAAGATGAATCAGAGGAAAGGGAAGAGGAAGAGGATGAGAAAAAGGACGATTTAAATGGTGTACCTGAAAATAGTGATGATGAGATGTCTGAACAAGCCAAAACTGAGGAAAAAGGAAGTATTTGTGGAAAGGAATCGATTGAGCAAAAAGTAGAGCAGAAGTCAAGATCATCAATGCCTTCTGCAGAGAAGGTATCTAGGGGAAGAGCCAAGACCAAGAAAGTAACAGTCTCCAAAACGAGCAATACTCCTCCCAAAAATGCTCCAGCCAAGTCATCAAATCGCTCAAAAAGTGATAAGAACAATGGTGCAGTGATATCTTCCGATAAGAAGAAACAAGAACCAAACGCAGGAAAGTATTCTGATAAGAAGAAAGAAGAACCAACCACAAAGATATCTCTGGATGAGAAGAATAAAGGAAAAAGCACAAAAATGTCTTCTGATAAGAAGAAAGAAGAATCAACCGCAATGAAGTCTTCCAATGAGAAGAAAGAACTAACCACGACGAAATCTTCTGATAATGAGGTAGAAGAATCAACAACAAAGAACTCTTTGGATAATAAGGAAGAAGAAGCAGCCGCAAAGAAATCGTACGGCAAGAAGAAAGAAGAACCAACCACAAAGAAGTCTGCTGTTAAGAAGAAAGAACCAACGACAAAGAAATCTGGTGATAAGAGAAAAGAAGAATCTATCACAAAGAAGGAAGAACCAGTCAAGAAGTCATCCACTCCAAAGAAGACATCAGTTTCAAATAAGTCTCTGTCAAAGGAGAGCACTGGTGAGAAATATAGCTGTCTATTGTCAGAATAGATGTTTTTGAGTATTCCCTCTTTTTTACGTAACAGTGTAGGAACCTCGATAGGAATCTGCCACCTAAAACTTTGTTTTATGATCTAATGCAGGGAAAAGTATCCTAAAAGTGAATGATAACGCCAAGGAGGAAGCACCAGAGCCAAGCAATGATGATATTAGGAAGTCTGTATGTAAAATCCTCATGGAAGTTGATTTTAATACGGTTAGTACTAATTTCTATATGTTTCTCTTCTTACCTCTCGCTTTCTTCTCTTCTCTATCTCCCAACTTTTATGGTTTGGGAGAAGTCGTCGAAGCATGCATGATTAGTTTTGAAAAATACTGTTGGTTACATTATCAGATATCTCCTTCCAAATCTCTTGGAATGTGTACTTATATTATCTCAAGCATAGCTAATCAAATGTGATTTCATCCCCATTATATGATTGACTACGTTTATGGTGGCTGAGTATTATTTATAAAGAAATGTGAAACTCACATTTAAAAATCAATTGGTTTTTGGTGGTGATATGTGAGATCATCTTGATTTTTAGTTCAAGTTCCAATACTATCATTGTATAATTATTCTGATTGAGTGTTTTTCATGTAAACTGACTGTACTTCTGTTTTTTTCAGGCATCCTTCACTGACGTTATGAAGCTACTCGGTGAGTTCCCTAGAACTTTTCTTAAATGTGTACTGACTAAGAACTTCTATTAGATTTTGGGATGAAAATTCACCACTGCAACTTATATTGTAAATCGTCTTCTCACTTAGATGCTATATCAAACGAACGGCCTTTTGGAGTCCTGTTTAAACAAAATACCTGATTATAGCAATACTGTCTACTGATATGCCTTTTGTTGCCTTTGATATACTAAATAATCTTTTTGACAAACATCACTTTAATTTTTCCCTGGTATTGGATGTTGAAACTTCTTTTCTTCCATTCAGCTCAGCAGTTTGATGTGGATCTGACCCCTAGGAAAGCAGACATCAGGGGCATGATTCAGCAAGAGCTCACTAAATTAGCAGAAACTGATGACGAGGAAGATGATGCCAGCAAGGATGAGAAAAATCCTTCTAGCGGCGTTAAGGCCTGAAGAACAAAATGTCAAGTGGTAATGGCAGACCTGTTAACTGAGGTACACTCTTTCGGCTTGTAATTTATTCTGTCTTGCTTTAGGATTTATGTAAGCTGTATCCTGATCCAGGTTAGCTTTAATTTTCTGTAACATTAGTTTTTGCAAATCTTCTTTATAGAGTTTGTTAGAGCTTGTTATGTACAACTAGATTAACTTGTAGGTTTTTTCTTAATCTTTGTTCTTGTTTTTAACCCCTCTAGAAGGATAGAGCTTCTGTTTCTCAGGTGCTGAGTGTTAGCTGGTGGATCCTTATTGTTCAATCCTGGTAGGCATATGTTATGAAATATTAGGCGCCAATAAATGTTTGTGGATTAAGGCTGAGACGTACAGTTTGTGGCTCATGGTTCACGTGTATATTTTGTTTGATGCGTGCACACAGAAAAGAAAATGATAAATTATTATTATTATTATTATTATTGTTATTATCAACAAACCACGACATGACAACCCTATGTGTTTGTAAAAAAAATAATTTGAGTGAATTAGAGTTTTTTTTAGTTAACTAGGATTAATTTAGAAAAAGTAATATAATTAGTTGTTTGTAAAATAATGTTTAAAACAAATTAATTAAAATTGAGTTGATGTAAAAATAGGAGAGATATATATACTAAGTGATGATTAGTTAAAATTATGTGAGTGGATGAATATTGAATTAAAATTAATATGATGTGTAAAAATGACTGATTGGTATTATTTAATTATATATGATAATATTGAAGATAATAGTTTAGTTAAAGTTGAGTTAGATTTTGAATATGAATTAATTTAAATTGAGTAAATCCTTTTACAAACAAACATAGCCTAAAGACCGTCCAAATCTAAAACCTCAAAATTAAAATATGGAGATCCACTTATTGGGTGGTGTGATACCGGAATTTCACTATAGGAATCCACTTGATCAGTGGTGTGACATATTAATTAATTATGGATTTTTATTCAGAAAAAATGATAAGTATGCATATTTTAGGCCGACTCACACACCACACCCCCATTTTGCTTTATTATTTCATATGGATATGTCACTGTTGGCCGTAATAAAACTGTGGAAGAAAAAAAATCACCATATCCATATGTGTTGTGATTCGTGTACAAGAGTTGAAATAAACAACAAAATACAATACAACACGATTAAAGAGTAAAGAGAGACCGAGCCAGCCGGTCAAATAACTGTACAACGGTTATATTTTACCTTTTATTAACCGGTGAAGAGAAGGACCCCACAACTCCTCAACGGTCATAATTTCAACGCAGCTTTTCATATGGAAACTCACCTATATTTACTACCTCTTCCCCACTTATTCCCATTCACCCCATTCTCCCACCCGCTAACAAATACTATTATTTAGTTAATTCTCTTCCCAAAAGCAACCGGAATATTTCCCCCAAAATCCTTCATCCTCCGAAAATGAACAAATTATTCGCCGTCGTTTTCTTGCTCTTGTCCGTGCACCAATATTCCGGCGGTGCACAGTCCCTTGGCGCGCCTTCCCCAGCACCGTCCGGGATCCCGGCTACCCACTCGCCGCCGCCGGTACATTCTCCGTCCAGCCCTCAAGCATCCCCGTCACAGCCTCCGGCGCGCTCACACTCTCCGACCATTTCTCCGGCGGCGAGTTCTCCAGAAACTAGACAGTCTCATTCTCCGGTACAGGCTCCGGCGGTATCTCCCGCAGCGCCTAATCAATCCTCCACTGTGCCTTCCCCGAGTCCATCCCAGGTGACGACCCCTCCGCCTACCCCGGTCAGTAGCCCCGCGCCGGCGAGTTCCCCGGAAGCGGAGGTTCCGGCTGCAGCCACTCCGTCGGCCGGTGTTCCTTCGAGTTCTGCAACACCGTCGGGGTCGCCGGATGAGGTCCCGTCAACCAGCAGCTCGCCGGTGAGTTCGGCACCGGAAAACTCACAAGGGCCAGCAGCAGATGACAACTCCTCTGCCAGATCGAATTCTGTGTACGAGGTTTCAGTTATTCTTATTACTGGGATTGCTCTTTGGGCTGCTGCTGCAGTTTAAGTACCAAATGTTTTCTTTTTCTCTTTCTTCTTATTAGCAGTATTTTGTAGTGCCGTGGAGTATGTGTCAGTATTAGTACAATATTCAATATTCTTTTGATTCTAAAAGTTTTTGGGCTTGGTTATGTTGTACCTACTGAGATGTACACTTATTTTATTGAAAATCTTGATTTATTGCATTGTAATTTGCTTGCCTATTACCTTATGCATCTATGTGATGTTTATTTATTTAATTATTAGGTGGTATTCATGCTTACATTATCCATTTAAAGTTTAAGAGCATTATAAAATATTGTTGATTTTGGATGATTTTTATACCTGTGCATCCAAGTGATGCTTAATTAGTTATTAGGTGTTATTCATGCTTACATTATCTATTTAAAGTTTAAGCATCATAAAGTATTGTTTCGTATATTTGATTTTGGATGATTTTTATAGCTTGCCAGAATGCAGTTGGCAAATGGATGAGAAATATGATATACACACATACAGAAATGGTGAGAATGATAATACAGAGTACAGTTATAGTACTTGATTTGTCAAATTCAGAAAGCTCTTGTGGTTGTCCGTGGAAACTAACATAAGATTTGTTCAGTGTTCGGCTCGACCATATTTCAACTTTATGCATGATCGAATGAATAGCCATTTTCGCGGCTTACGAACATCAAGTGTACAATTTGAACTTCTTTTGACGACATGAAACAAGAACTCTCAATTTTGATAGTTAAAAAGTAGTTAGAACAAAAACGCAACTTTGAAATCCATGAGACCATGCTGTGAAAAATCATGTAGCTGACTTTCGTTTTTTCTTTTTTTTTTTGGTAATATTCAATTCAAAGAATTTAAGTGAAAGAGAATTTTGACAGAGTTGTAAAGGAATGGTATGAATGGAAAGGGTTATAATTATTGTCTAGCAGAGTTGGCCTAACTTGCAGTTGAGAACACCTGCAGATGGTACAATTCTAGTTAAAAGCGAGGCTGGTCTTGCAACCATGCTCGAAGCTTTTATGTAGCTTTCTGAAGTTCCATTTCCAGAAGTCGTGAAGTGGGCCCCATTCATCAGTAGATCACCGTCCGATCTCCAATTCCACTTCTTCCACTCCTCATCTCCCGGAGGGGTTTCATGTTTCGTCACCTGATTTTTAAGACCAACACATGGTAATAAAAGATTTCCATTTTTAGCCTCTGTTTACATCAAATTATTCTCTGCTTTTACGAAATTGTAAGGTTATTATACCTCTTTTGTATCACCCGATGCAATGAAAACATTGCTTTGGCTATTGATCGTCGGATTTGCACTTCCGCCAATCGCGTACATTCCCCAACCAGTGTACACATTGTTCACAATGTGGAAGTACCCATGTCTACACCTTCAACAAAGGTACCCACATATATTAAAAATGTATGACAATTCTTTAACACAATTTAACCAAGGTAATTCTTTCATTTCTTTCATCTCTTCTACTTTTTTCTTGGGTTTTTCTTATTAGTTACCTGGGAATCCTCTGGACCAAACCTTTTCCAAAGTAATTAAAAGCGATGGTGACCTGCATATTCCGGTCCGCCACATAATCATCGTTGTGTCCCATCAGCATCACCTCGTTATGCTCAAACATATAATTGTTTGAAACCGTTATTGCAGTCGACCCAGAAACTATATCGATAAGCCCGTCACGGCACGACGACAACGTGCAGTGGTCGATCCACACATCACGAGCCCCAAACACCGATATTCCATCGCCATCCGATTCCCCCCTCAGCTGATAATGCCCCGGCCTATCGGCCACGACAGTATTTCCTGCGGGTACACAATTATGTATATAAATCCCATGTATGATGACATTAGTGACGCCTTGAATTGTTACGCAAGGCCCGTCAGATATCTCGACGTTGAAGCCGCGGCCGTCGATGGTCTTGTAGGAGTTCATGAGGAGCTCTTGGTTTAGTTGTATGGTCATGTCTCGGTCGAATATGATCCAAAGAGGAGCGTCTTGGATGACTGCGTGGCGGAGGGTGCCTTGGGTGGGGCTCTTGGGATCGTCGGTGGGAGACGTGACGACGTAGAAGTCGCCGTCGCGGCCGCCGGTAGCATTGCGGCCGAAGCCAATGGCGCAGTCGGCGAGGACTTTGCGGTTGGCTTCCCATTGAGGGTCGCAACGCCAGCAGTCGTCGATCGGGTTACCTGTCCTGCATGACGTGAGTCCCCCTGCGGATGGGGCTTTCATCCATTTCCTGCAATTGTTAGGCGAGTCGAATCATCATATATATATTTTTTTCTTAAATGGTGATTTTTTTTTTCCTCGTGTTTTAGCTCACTGGTAAATCAGGAAATGACTACAGTCCCGTTCTGTGAATTATATCTATCCTACACTAATTTACATGTGTATCTAAAAGCTAATAATAACTGAGGGATAATTCCGTGACGGGACTATAGTCATTCTTGGTAAAACAACTAAATTAAATAGAAGAAAAGAAAATAATTGAAGCTATATAGGTAGAAGCATGCATGAGGGGGTAGTAACGTTACCATGGGGCTGGTGGTGATAATTGTGTTAATGAAGAGAATGTGTGAGCGTGTGCTAAGAGAAGAAAGCAGTTGAGTATGATTTTTGACATTGCAGCTGCTTAGCTTAAACTGCTTACAACTTTGGGATAGAAAGATTTTGGTGGATACAAATATGACGCTAAATCGAGCTACTAAACAGGTGGCAATAAATTGAAGTTACTAAAAGTAGTTGTAATTATTTATGACAGTAAACCACAGCTGCAAAAAACTGGTGTTCTCTATACAAGTCTGGCATATTTATTATTGTACCTGATGTTGATTTTCTTGCAAAAGGCAAAAGAAAATGAAGTATTTTGATAATATATGTGCCAAAATTTTGGAAAGTTGATTTAAAGCCCATACACGAGTTGGGTTGGAACGGGACTACTCAAATACCCAAACCAGCCCTATTTATGAAATGGATTCTACTCCCACCTGTTGTTCTGGATATGGGGGCTAAGGCTGGCCCTTGTTAGAAACTCGCCGGAGGGACAACACCCGGTTGCCGGCGAGATGATGGCCAAAACACAAGATACAAAAGAAAGCTCACACGAAAATAAGCTCTTGTTTGGTGTTGTTAAATTGACACCTTTTCTTGTGCTATTGTATTGCTTATATAGCATAATACAAAGAGCTAAATAAGGACTACAAATCAAGATTACATGAAAATTATATATCAACCAAATATTCACACCTAATCTAGGAAAGCAACTAAAGAAAACAAATAAACTAATTTAGGTACACAAGGATTATATCCTATAATAGAAGATTATTCCTACAATCTCCTCCTAAGCTTTGTGCACATTGCTAATTAACATTGATAAGGCCGATTTTAGAGCACAGTTCATGGTACTTGGTCCTCCCAAGCAGCTTCGTCAGAATGCCGCTCAGTTGTTCTTCACTCCTGATGAACTTGGCGTTAATCAAGCTTTTCTCTGCAGACTCCCGAAAAAAATTATATTTCACTCGAATGTACTTGCTCTGTCCATAGAGTACTGGATTCTTGATTAAGGCAATGGTACACTTGCAGTGCACCCTCAGGATTGACGCTCGTGGTGCTGATCCCTGCACCTCAGCCAGCCCCCGAGCGAGCCACAATGGTTGACTAGCAGAGTTTGCAACTGCTATATATTATGCCTTACGGCTTGACTGTGCCACCACCTTCTGCTTCATATGGATTGCCAGGTGATCGAGTTGCTGTTGAGGAAGAAAATCACCCCTGTTGTGCTCTTGCTAGCTTCAACATCCCCAGCATAATCGCTATCACTGAAACCCGTCAAGTGAGATTTCTACTCCTCCTTCCTTCCAAACCAGAGTCCCCAATTCTGAGTTCCTGCCACATAGCGCAGAATGTGCTTCACAGCAGCAAGGTGATCTTCACGAGGATCCTCCAAGAACCGGCTAACATTGACAATAGCAAAAGCTAGATCGGGGCAAGTATTAGCCAGATACCTTAAGCTCCCGACGATGCTCCTGTACGCCGTCTAGTCGACTGCCGACACCGAGCTGAACTTGCTCAACTTCAGTCGTTCTTCAATAGGCACTTGGCAGGGATTGCACCCAGCCATACCTCTTTTCTCCAGAATCTTGTTGGCATAGGCGCCCTGGCTAAGTGAGATTCCACTCACGCTCTGCTTCACTTCAATGCCGAGGTAGTAGTGAAGTAACCCGAGGTCACTCATCTTGAACGCGGCCGCCATCTCCTTCTTGAACGACTTAATGTCGTCGTAGCTTGAGCTGGTGATCACGATATCATCGACGTAGACTTCGACCACTAGCTGCAAGCTGTCGTTCCGCCTGATGTAGATGGCGTGCTCCGACGCACTCCTCTTGAAGCCGAGCGACATCTGTATGGTGTAAAGTTTTGCATTCCAGGCTCGCAACGCTTGATGCAGACCGTATAGCAAATTGCGAAGCTTGAGCACCTTGTGCTCCTTACAGGTGATGACAAAGCCAACCGACTGCTCGACGTAGACTTCTTCCTGCAGGTCGCCGTTCAAGAACGCTAATTTGACGTCCATGTGGTGTACCTCCAATCCTTTTTGCGTTGCAAGGGCGATAAGGAGGTGCACCGAGGCTGGTCCAGCCTGGCAACCGGCGTAAATACCTGGTCTTAGTCGATGTTGTGCAGTTGTGCGTAGCCCTTTACCATGAGGCGCGCCTTGTTCTTGGTCACCGCCCCGTGCACGTCCCTCTTCACCTTGAAAGCCTTGCGGTCGGATGGGAGGTCGACGAGTCACCACGTACCGTTCTCATCGATGAACTCCATCTCCTCCATCATCGCCTTCCTCCAACTAGGTTTGCGCTCTGCCTCGACGAATGATGCAGGCTCGCGGCGCTCACCGCGTGCAACTCCTCCATCACCAGTGCGCATAGTGCGAAGCCTCGTGGCGAGGTCGTCCCGATGATTTCGTAGACGCTACAAAATCGGATAGGTGCGCCGTCGTCATGGTCGGCATCCAGGTTGTCATCGTCGATGCCGTCTAGCGAATCAGATCTGGTTCATCCTGAGCCCCGCTGGGACGTGACGATTGCTCTCTTCAAGCTTCTCCTCCGAGCGCCTTGACAGTGTCATTAGCCTCATGAGAGGCCTAACTAATGGTGGTGTACTCCACTGCGAACACGTCGTAGCCGCCACTTGGCTCGCCGTTGTCGCTGTCGGTTCCCTAGTCCCACTAGGCTTGCTCGCCGAACACCACATCATCGTCACGTGGACACGCCTTGCGACAGGGTCATAGGCACAGTATGCCTTGTTGCCGCATTTGTAGCCGATGAAGATCATCTTGCAGTCGCGGTCCTCTAGCTTCTTCAAGTGAGGTGCCGTGTTATGCACGTAGACGATGCAACCAAACGTTCTAAGATAGTGCACCGCCGACTTCCTCTTGTGTCATGCCTCGAACAGTGTCATCCCTACCATGCTCTTGGTCGAGCACCTATTCAGCACGTACACAGCGGTGCTGACCGCCTCACCCCAAAACCATCCAGGCAGGCCCTTGGCCTTGAGCATGCTCCTCGCTGTTGCTAACACCGTGCCATTTCAGCATTCATCGACACCGTTCTGCTGTGGGCTATAAGACGCCGTGTGCTGACGGTTCACGCCCTCAGTCGCACAGTAGTCCGCAAACTCGGTCGCAGTGAACTCACCCCTGCGATCAGCGCGGAGTGCCTTCAGTTTGATGCTAGACTCGTCTTCTGCCCTAACTTGAACCTCCTTGATGGCAGCCACAACACGATCTTTTGAGGGAATTGCGGCTACCCACATGTATCTGTTGAAGTCGTCCACCATCAGCAAAAAGTACATATTCCTCTAGGTGTTGCTGATGTGATAGGGCTGCACAAGTCTGCTCGAGATGCTGCTGTGCACGGTACTCCGCTTGCGCCGGGAATGAAGTCCATCTCTGTTTCCCAGCTTGGCACGCATCGCACAGTTGGTCAACCTGCCTAATCTCTGGTAGGCCACGAACCAGCTCCTCCTGAGCTAACTTCCTGAGTGCTTCCATGTTGACATGACTAAAGCGCTCATGCTAGCGCCACGCCATCTCGTCACCGTGCCCGCACATTGCCAAGCACAATGGCTGCACCACCTTGATACATAGCTCGTACAGGCGGTTGATTGCCTGCTTCACCTTCACCAATAACTATCCGCCAGGCTCCCTGATCCTCACTCCGTCATCAATGTTGACTTTGTAGCCGCCCTCGTCTAGCTGTCCAAGGCTGATTATGTTCGTATCAGCCTAGGAATGAAGTAAATGTCGGAGAACGACAGAAGCTCGTTGTTCTTGCACGTCAAAACAACAGTGCAATGACCCCTGATCTGCACCAACGAGTCATCGCTGAACCACACGGTGTCGAGCACTGCCATGTCCAGCTTTGAGAACGCACCCCTGGATCTGGACATGTGGTTGGTGGCGCCGGTGTCCAGGACCCAGATCTCTGTCTTCCGCTCATTTTTCTCGTCGAGATGGACGGACACTATCTCCTAGCGAATCTCGATTGGGCGCTCGATCCCGTCAGTGTTAGTGTTATATACTGAAAGCTTGGCTTTGCATGTTATTACACATTTACCCTTTATGAATGAGAATCATGTTAGATTAAACAAGTTCTACGTTCTGTTGTTCTGCACTTAGATAGGGTGGGCCGTCATTGGGTGAACCGAAGATCACTCTATCAGTTACTTGCGAACAAGAATAGTTGTTCACAACCTAGATGGACATGAACACCCCATCCGAACGGTTGTAGTGTCAACTGTATAGTTTGTCTTGACTGATTAGTTGCACTAGTACATTTATGTATTGAACAGGATCCCAGAGAGGAGAAGTTCATTTTATACTGATCGTCGTAAATGAACTAGGCCTCGGTTAATTACTGCGTTCTCTTAACCCGTAAGATATTAAACAGGCAGATATATATAATATATATTACTTTGATTCACATGGGTGAGGTTCAGTTCGCTGGATTAATATTCCTACTGTTTTGGGTAATATTATTATATATAGGATGTGCTGTTAGGATATTTACGGTCACCATGTGCGTTAGTTTGATGATGTCCCCGGAGTGAGTTCATGAAGGATTGTTATGCTAAACCCTGCAGGTGGATTAAATTCCGGCATAATAAGAATGTGATGAACGAGCGCTAGCTTCGGTGAAATAATAATAAATTAATTAATTCTTGATTGTCAG